CCATAAATATTTCTTTTACTATTTTCCCTAAGAACACTGCTTTTCAAAACTAAAATTTTACAAATTTTCTGCAGATAAGAAAAAGAAGAAGAAGAAAAGAAACCCTTTAGGACATCAAATAGCTGAAAGTACCAATTGTATAACAGAATCAATGGTCTTGCCAACAGCACACCAGCAGAGAAGGAACCACTGTAACAGTGCCAGTGGAGTGGTTTGTTCAATAAGTGATCCAAGAAGATTTAGGTATTTTCGTGAAAAAGTTCAAATAGTTTTCAATTCCTTTCGTTGTAGGACAGATATTTTCCCTTTCCAGTGATGTCTCCTCAGTACTGCATCTATGTAACACACTGCTCAGAATGATGACTAGACAGGGTTTGCCCACTGTGTGGAGGCACAAATCAAATTAACCAGGTTATTCACCCAAAAGCAAAGGCCTGTTTCTTTTTGGAAATATTAAAGCAAAAATACGGTTGGAGCTATGAGGGATATCAGCTAGAAAACATGAAGATGCAGCAAATTATGTGCAGTTTCAAATGGATGTTTTAGGATACAGATAATGACAAAATTGATATGGACAGTCTTAGATAAATGTATTTTCTCTGGAAGGTATTATTTTTTTAGAATTCTGTTAAATATTCTCAAACAAATTTATTCCATCAGCTGTGCTATATTGGAGAAAATAATCTGTCTCCCTACAAGTCTAATGCTGTGAGCCACTAAACTAAATCTTAAGTGTTACACTTCTTTCTACATTTTCAGTCTGAACAAAGAAAATGTAGGCAATTTTCAGAGTAAGGACTATCATACTTTAAATATAGATAATTTTGTGGAATGTAATGTTGCAGCAGTGGAGCAGTATAGCAAATAAAATGTCAGCCGAGAAGGCTGTAGCTTTATGGTCTTGGGTATATGCTGAAAGGAACACACTGTTTTTCTTTGCACTCAAAAAGGAATTTTGCCAGCATGTGCATTAAAAGATGTCAACAGTACTGCAAGGTGCTATTAATGTATAAAGTAATTTTCATGCAGTTTTCACACTTTTTATCCTAGAGCACTTTTCAAAAGTAATAATAAGTAGTATAAGAGAGAGAGCAAAAGAAGACTAAAGAATTACAAAGGGAAAAAAAAAATCAAGATGCTTTGAAGCAGGGGAAGAACCAGTGGTTTATGTGAGGCTACATCACACCCCAGCCTCCCACCCCACACAGACATGCCGGGTGGGGATGGTTTCACATGACACAGCAGGCACGGCACAGATGAGCTGATCCAAAAGCGAGTGGCCATCACAAGCGGGCAGTTTTCTTTCCCTCAATTACTGATGCACCATTTCCCTTGCACTGGATGTAAGGATCGTGTCATTACCGGGCGAGTCCATTTATCAGGCTGATCCAGCAGAAAGCCATCCCGAGGGGCAGCAGAGCAGAACTGAGGAGCAGTTCTTTGTCACATCAGCCAGCTGAACCAACTCACCGTGAAGCCATGAGTGGTAGTGCCAAGAAAAGGAGAGAGAGGAAGGCAGGAGCCTTGGCCAAGGGCTGCCTTTTTAATGGGGAAGTTACTGGATCGCCTTAGCTGCCTCCTAAAAATGAGACTTTTGGTCTCCACCTGAAATAAAACCTCCAGAAGTGTTTCATTCTGCTTATGTTCTAATGAAAACTTAACTGTTTGCCTCAAAATTAATGATCATGTTATAACAAACTTTCTGAAACCAGAAAAATAAATTAAGAATGCCTTTGGATTTATTAATTACAATCAGTTTACATTTCTAACTTCTTCTTATTATCTTTTTTTAACTGTCACACTGGTCAAGATTATACAAACACACTCCCATAGAGCTGTATGTCTTTGCCTAGAACATACCCTTGAAATAAGGTACACATTGCATTGTGCTGAAAGCCACAACAAAGCAGGCTCTGCCTGTTAGCTCACATTAACTGAGTCTTTGGCTGATATTTCCATGGAAGGTATGCTGATCTTTCTAGTAGTGTCAATAGAATCACATTACTGCTCGAGTCATCGTTTTCTAAAAGCTATTTGGCAGCTCACCATTCATCCCCTACAGTTAGATTCAACACTGTTTACAGCATCTAATAAACAGGCTTAGTCAGATAGAAATTTAAGAGATAATTATTTTTCCTAACGTGGTTAACTCCATAATAAAATGCTGTGTCTATTTAAAAGTGTTTTTCTTTTGATCATGAATCTTAATGCTTTATTTGTGACATCTGAGTTTTTAGTAACAATAAGTGCTTTGTCTGCTTGATGTGAAGAGCTCAAGTGGTTTAATTAAAGGGGATTAATTGAATTAACCTAATTAATTAATTCAGTTAAACCAAATGCTTAGAAATACAAGGTTAAGAAGTGGTTGTGTTATGCTATTCATTATTGTGTGAGTGCTCACAGTCCTCCTCAGTGCAGTCAGCTGGGTTAGACTGAATCACTGGTAAAAGCAGTTAAAGTAACCTTGCTGACTTCACAATGAAATTGGGTTTAACGGCATTAATAAACAGTAGGATAATAACAGCAGAAATAAGAGCAGCTGGAGCACTAACAGAATTAATTATGGCATCACAGCTGAGATTGATAATGAAAACCCCTGGACAGTAACTTCTCAAACTAGTACAGCTGTCTCCAAATAGCCATCTGTCTGGGCCCCAAGGCTATTTCATGTATGGATACTCTTAAATTAACTTAGCAGAGCTCAGTTAAGGAATTACAGAAACAATGTGATAATATTGAAAGCTGATGTGATATAGGCAATATAAACTTACAGTGGTTTAAGAAAAAATTGAAAAGGGGCAATTTTGCAACTTTCTTTGAAGTGGTGAAACAGCTGTGTGTCCTAGAGTCCTGAAATAACTGATTTGATGACAAGAAAGCTCTATGAGAGTGATTAAAAGAAAATTTTCCTTTTGAAACAATTGGCAAAGGCGGCAAAGGAAATCTTATCACTACAACTCTCCAAAACATTAGTAGAGTTTATGGGAAGATTAAAGTTCTTTATTCACAGGAGTTTTTTTAATCAATTGAACTGCCAAATGACACATTCCATCCTTAGGCCCTACTTTTCTTAGGCAGCATTTTGAAAATGCTTGTCCTCTGAAAATGCACTTGCAATTTTCACCTTTAGGATTTTACATGTATGAAGACTAATAATCATATCATATCATCTAATATCACATTCATCCCTTTTCATAGTGGTGTGTTGTGAATATATAGGTTTGTTTCTTAGAAGTGGGAAGTGTGCATTTGTAACTCTTACTGGTATCATGGATAATGGAATGTGTGAAAAAACATGCCTTGATGAGATGATAGAAATACTAACAAATTACAAACAGAAAATCTAAACCACAAACATTAAATTGCAATAATTTAAAATTAATTAGCAAGACTGGTAGGCCATCTTCTATTATCACCTCCAGGAATGCAATTTTCCAGCAATTAACGCTGACAGAACTAAACATGTACTACAAAGAAAAGAATTCAGCTTTTATGTTTTAAATCTATAATGAGAATAATTTTATCATAGTAAATTTGAATCCACTGTTTTCAGATGATCAAAACTGAATATATCTATGTTTTCTTTTAAAAAGAAAAGATGCCTACATTTTTTTTTCAAAATAAAGTCATAATAAACCATGGTAGATAGGCTATGAAATCCCACTTGAAGAAAACTTTGGTCGCTCTACAGAAGTTTTCATTACATATTAGTCAAGTCTGCTGGAAGACAACTTATGTCTCCTTGATTTTATTTTTTCATCATTTTTGTACACTGTTACTTGTTACTGCAAGATTTAATCTTCTAGGTCTAACCTACTAAAGCCAAGAATTCTACTTCCCTTATATACACCTCATACATATACACACACATGTAAATGCAGTCTTCCCCTGATGTGACGTATGATTTTGTTCTTCACAATTAATTAAATTCAGCTATAAAATATCCCTTAGGAAATTTCATGAATTGGTAAATAAAACTTGATATTTTGTAGATAAAAACTGTAATATAAATATAAATAATATAAATATAAATATATTCTGGCAGAATCTATGCAGCCCTTGTAACTGTAACCCTGCTATCACCAAAAAAAATTACTCTCCCTAAGGTCAGGGCAAAGATTGGCCAGCTGAGAACACGTTTGGGACAGTGTCATCAATCTGAAGGGCACACAGTGGTGGCTGGTACAACACGATTTTCCCTCTCTTCAGCACAGCCACAGCTGAACGACCCCTTCTCACCTCCAGCTGTGGGTGTGGAGTTCACTTCCCCACCTCTCTCAGGGCCCAGTCCAGCCCACAGAAGGTGATAAAATGTAGACTGGTTGAGGAACTTGTGAATTTTCCTGAGTTAATAGACAAAGAAACTGGGTGAATAATCGTAATTAAACCTCTTTGCCTAAGTGAATAGACCTTTGGCCCTGTCAGCAAAGCCTTGTCCACAAAGAGGGCAAAAAAGAAACAAATTACAGTGTCGGTTCTTAAAGCAATCCGGCCTCATTTGCCTTGGCAATTTATTGGGTTGTTTGGGTTTGTTTTATTTTTTTAGAACTGTACAGGCCGAGTTCTGCTATAAATAACTAAAGTAAAATGCCAATAGAACATTTACCAGAGAAATCCCACAGTTCGGAAAAACTTTACTACAACTCATCTGGTAGAAAAGTATTTATATGGTGAGTAGCTAGTAGAGGTCTAACCCTGCCCTATGAAATACCTTGCCAGTAAATGGTCACAGTCTTCTGAAATTACTGAGTTTTGTATTTTTCATTGCCACTTTCAGCAACTATACAGGCAACTAACACAGAGTAAATAGTGACTGTAAAGAAACAGCCAGGCATTGCCACCAGACTTCACCTTCTCACTTGGGATTAGCGTCCTACTGTGACCTATTTTTTAGTACAACTCGAAGTATAAAAATTCAACACAATGTAAAAAAACCCAGCAAACAAACAAAAAACTCCTAAAACCCAACTCCCCCCCGCCCCCCAATTTAATTCACTTACCTTTGGCTTCCTGCTTAGTCCAGAATTGCGTCACTACTTTATTAATGTGTCTTTCCTCTCTGAACTTCTTTTGCCACTGACGTAGCTCTTGTATTTCACTATTACAACGGACCTGTGAAAGGGAACACAGAAAATACAACTACAATTATATACCTTCGTGCTACCCAACATGATGATACAATTTTTCTCATGGGGCTGTGGCTGGGCAAATACAGGACAGCCATCCTTTTTGCTGGGCCTGAGGTAAAAGCACAATCCCAGGGGTTTACAGTTTTCAACTTACACAGAAATAAAAAACACATCATTGAGAGACCCCACTGAAAACATAAATATGCCAATTAGGGGATCACTTTGATTACCAAGGACTCCTGAGAATGTGATTGCAGTGAGATGCTTATTCTTTGAGTTAATTAAAATTTCAAGCATTATGCTGAAGGGTATTAGTGCCTTTAGAAAACCACAACACTATAAAACCAACCCAGTGACCAACATAACAGAGCACAAGAGGAGCATGAAGGGTCATACAGAAGGGAATTTATTCCAGCAAACTGATTCACACCTGCCATCAGCTGCAAATAGGCTGACTGGCAATCCCAGCCATACAATTTTCACAAACAGGAGAGCCATTAATCTGTTATTCAAAGTAATTGGACTGCATTACATGATATCTATTCTTTGTCAGTCAATCACCCCATGAAGGCCTTAATTCTGCTTCCACAAAAAAATTACAATAGTCATAGGCCCTAATTCCATCTAGATTTAAGTTGAATTTTTTTAGTATTGTTTGTAGTGGTGTAGTTCCTGCTAACATAAAATTCAGCCAGCTCTGCATCACCAACTTTTACCACTCTGCGACTTAAACTTGTTGTAAGCAGGATTTGATTAATTAGCAGTCCATTGTCTGCCTTGGCATTCACAGAATTACTACCTCCAGTGCACCAGATACTGTCCTTCTGAACAACAGTAGGAAGGGGACATGGCAGTATTACCTTAGACACTATTCTCTTAGAGTCATATTCAAATTGTAATAGAATTATTTTTAAAAAGCAGTTTCTATTTTGGTTTGGGTTGGATTTTTTCCCCTAAATATTACTTATTAAAAATGTCATCATATCAAGCATTCTGTGATTCTATGACTTAATGTCCTGGTAATTTGGGCAGACGTTGAATAACGTGGTAGAAACAAGTAGCAATAAGCTCAATTTCTCCTGGACACCTTTTTTTTGCAGGAAGATTACTTAATTCTCAGAAAATCTCCAAATCAATTTCTATTTATTTTATTCTTACATGATATAGTAGTGAGTTTGCTCTGTGATTTGAACTCTGGTACTCTTCTCCATTACACTCTGCTTTTCTCTCACTTTACTAAGAGACATACAGAGCAAAAGAGCAGGACTTCAGTTTCCCACTGGTTATTAAAAAGCCCAAACCTTAAAGAAAACAATATCAATTATTTATCAAAAGTATTCTTTCTACCCAGAATTTCTCCTTTGTGGTGCAGCTGGGAATGCAATGGACAGTAGCTGAACTCCCATAGCACTCTTCAATCCACTTAGGAGAAGATAATTTGCTATATTTCAGACACTGCACTGGCAGAGCAGAAACACAATACAAGGTTACTCGATCAATAAAGACAGCCAAGACTTTTACTCAGTGACTTGACATCAGATACCTCTTAGGCCTCTAATAATATTCCATTATACTGATATAGTTCTGTAATATCTTCTATAAAAGTCATAAAAATTTCTTACAAAGCTGTTATGAACTTTTGAAAATTAAGGAAGTCACAGTTACTAATGATCTTCTTTTCAGCTATACAAAAAATAAGATCATTTAATGTTAAATCCATCAAATACTATTTGCAAAAATAAAATATAATCCCAAACACAGGATACTTTAGGCTTTCAAGAGACATTTTTTCTTTTAGGCTGTCATCTGTGCTTTTATAAGCCAAATAATTCCCTATTACATGGAGTCCATTTATCTGCACAGGAAAGGGTTAAGGGAATGCTTATGGGACTCAAGCATATAAATGGCAGCAACGGAAGATGCAGGAAGATTGACAAATTACTATCTGTATATCTAAATACAAAATTTATGAAAAAATGATGTGCCCATTTACAACTTCAGCTGTGTAAGACCTGTATTTTGTCCCAGGACAGGGCCACAGTGGTCTCTGTATACTGAAAATGAGGACAATAACTCTTAGCAGTTAAAAGATAAATGGCAAGTGCAGTAGGTTCTGTATACTCTCCCTAGACAAATAAAACAGTGAAAGTGCAGTGGAATATATAGTGAAATACAGTGTTCTGAGATGAAGGCATAGTCATATAGAGTCAAATACTCCGAAGTCCAACACTAAATCCAAGCAGTGAACGTGAGCTCCCAGAACAAAGTGTCTTTTTTAGAAAAGTGACCAAAACAAAAGAAAAAAACCACAAAACACAAATACACCATCTGCAGTAAAACAGGTAGCAGGAATGTAACAAAATACATCAACATGTTCCAAATATGCTTAATAGATTACAGTTTAGCATAGTTGTGATTATTCCCCAGAAAGCTGTCAGTTTTGGAAGCAGAGTGCAGTTCCACCACGATTGCAAAGCCATGACTCAGCAGCAAAATCTCCAGGCAAATAAACAGAACCAAGAGTCTTGTGCCTCTCCTGCAGACCAGCCACGCCTGCAGCCCTGAAGGGGTCTTAGCTTTGAAGTGAGAGTTCACTCCTACCCAAGTCACTTGAGTTGAATCTACACTTGCTGCAAATAACAGGGCATGTTCGTGTGACCTTCTGGGATTAAGCCTTTCCTGGGAGCCACAACTTGCTGGAAAGTAATAAAAGTTGTGATAGCAAAAGCATGACTACATTTTGAAAGATACAAATCAAAACTGAAGCAGGTTCAACTTTTGCTCAAACAACACGTATAAAATAGCACTGAATATTTACATAGTGCTGTCCAATTTCAACTCTAAGAAAAATATACAAGACTTAGTCAAAATAAACTTCTTTCAGTGCTAAGTGAGAACATGTTGCACAACAGCAGAAGGAAAACACCAAAACTTCACCCAGAGACATGAGAGGAAATTGTATTAATGAAAAATCCCTGCAGTCCAATAGCTCTGCAAATTGTAAAGTTTAAAAAGCCCCTATGAAAATGGCACTAAACAAAGATTCTGCACTAGAGGGGTGAAGGAATAGATCATCCTGTGCTGGGAAAGTGCCTGGAAAATTGATACCTATCTAAATACTGCCTTAGCCCGTGACAGTTGAATGGAACCTCAATAAAAAGGATGGTGGAAAGTGAAGAGAAAGAATTCTGATGACAGAGCTGTCCAGGTCTTCTCTGAGTGCTCCTCCTTGCCCTCAAAGAGCCCACTCAAGATGACATCTTCCTTTCTGTGATCTCCTTACAAAACTCAGCAGTTGTAGTTCCCACTGCTATTTGTTCTGGAATTCAGTTCTTGATTGAACTTGAAATAATTTTCAGAGTACCCATGAATGTCTTTGTATGAAAGATTGTAGGAAGGACTGTTGATGGCAGCCATCAATTATTACTACCAAAACAAGTGTATTTCTTGAATGTGCTGCAGATAATGATGAATGTACTGCTTTGATCATGCTTTGCTATGAAAAAGTTCTCAATATTCTGTACCTATAGGGTTTTTTCCCTTTACATAAAAAACCCTTTACTGTCTGATCTATTTTTGCATCTTTTTGCCACGTGTTTTTGATACTGGCACACTCAGACAGCTAGATGTGGCAGAAACAAGTGAAGTGCCATGAGAAGACATGATGCTCAGTCAGTTTTATAACTAGATGAACTCTACTGCCTAAATCAGTATGGTTAACAAAATACCTCAGAAGTGGTCTCAGTCCATAGAAGATGAGTCTTAGAAAGCCAGTGATGAAGTGCACTGTCTCTTTAGCACAGTGCCATGTAAAGTATCTGTGTGTGCTTGTGTTTAATTATTCAATATTAAACCACTGTGTACATTTTTATTTCAGTAACAGTGTTCCAAAGTTCTCAATTCTCTGAATTATAAAACAAGGTTTAATGAAAAACATCAGAAAATATTTTCAAATATTGACACAATAATATCCACAGAATGCAAAAGGGCATTATTTGTAAATGTTCAGTTATTACCACACTAAATCAGTGTTAGCTGACAGAGTTATCTGTTTTAAAAGCAAATAATCTGGTAAATTTTCATAACATACTTCATCATTAATGCAATGAAATCCCATTTAAGTTTAGTGTTCTCTTAATTTTTAAGCCCAAGAATAACACATTGCCCTATGTAGTGACTTGTCAGTAATGATTTTTGGTTTACATTCTGATTTTAATTTTTGATTTTTAAAAACCCGAGTTCTTTCATCTCGAATAAGATAAAACCTTAACAGCTAATTTTATAGTCTGAGTTATTTTTTATGTCTCCTCCCTTTTACAGCTAGGGTTTCTCTCTCATTTCTGGGAACTGGTTTAGAATGATAAATACTAGGGTGAAAATCCTGAAGTTAATCTGTACAGCAAGGGAGACTCGTGCCCTTAACAAGCTTTTATAGAAGCACAAAGTGTCTGAGCAACCTTGCACTGTTCAGCAAACATCACTGTTATTGGATAATGGTTGCCTTTGCAATACTTCTCTGCAAGGATGCCTGCAGGGATACTGTCTGGCCTAATTAATGTTACTGTCAATGCCATCTCTGTTTAAAAAAGAGAAATAAAGGAAAACAAACAACAGAAAGCGCTGCAAAAATCGATCAGTCAAGAAGACCATTTTGAGGTATTTCATAGTCTTTGGCTGCACTGCACATTATAGGAGCCACTTATATATATTTGTGCTTGTTAAAAATAGTAAAAAAGACCTTAACAGAGAGTGGTTTATACTGGTTGTTATTTAAAGATCATCTGACATCCAGAGATGTCTCACTGTCCATCACAACAAAATTGCTGCTGTATCTGGGGGCTATTTAGAAGGTTAAATTTTGATAAAGGAAGCAAAGACATTTCCTCATCACCAAAGTCACCTGAATTTCAAGTCTATTTCTTTCCAAGGCATGAAGCTTTAAAAAAAAAGTATTTGACAGGATTTGTGCAGGATTTTCAAAATAATTCATTTAGCATCCTAGGGTTAGCATGGCTGTTACAATCCAAAATAATAGTATTGGACAATGGTCTTTGTATTTATTTTATGCTCCTTGCTTTCCCCCTTAAACTGGGGATTGCATTAGTGTTGTATTACTAGTATGTCTTACAACATCTGCTCACCATTTTGTTTTCTCTTCCCTGGAATAAAAGCCTTCATGCCTATCCTACATCTCCTGTCTCATCCTTGGTCTCAATTTTTTGTTTCTGTGTGCTCAGACAGAGCACACAGACCTCACCAATCCTCCTTGAGCATCTCCACCCTCACTCACTCACATATCCCTGCACGAAGCAAAACAACATTCCATCCTTTAGCAACTAACCAGAGCAACTTTCAATTTAAAAGAGAAAACTGTTCACTGTTAACCATACTTTTGAAAATCGAATTTCTGTGGGTTTTCTGTTGTTGAGGAAAACACTGAGATTACATCAGCATAAATGCCTGTGAAAAAAAAAACTGAAGTCACTAGGCATAAGGCAGAGCAACATCCAAAGCCAATGAACCATAGGGGTCTCAGCAGCTATTTATAGTATCCCCTACTTAAAATTTATGTAAGGATTTTCCCCGGGGCCTTCACAGTCCTACAGTTTTCAACATCAAGCAAAATAATTATAGATTACTCTTACCCGATAACCTCTCCAGAAGGACTGAATTATTATGCTTGCTTCTTCTTCTGATAGAAGCAGAGATAGAGGAATTGGTGGCCTAGGACTTAAAAAAAAAAAGATTTTTTTGTAAACAGACAGCCTATAAATGTAAAATACCTTCTTCCCTAATAGTATATTTTATCAAAAAGATAAATGCTGTTTAGGAGCTTGAAAGGTACAGTTTCTTATTGCCCTGAAAATAAAATGTGCAAAGAATATCTCCTTTACAAATACACTGTTATATACTCTGCAATAACTTCTTCTTAAAACAATCATATACAAATGGCACATCAAGTACAATAATCTTGCTTACTCTTCTACAGGGATTTCAAATTCCCACTATTATGGTAAGGTTTGAGGTGGCAGTAGGAGGGGGACAAGCGAAGGACCCTGCCATTTGTAAAGGAGAGGAGGTTTTAGTGGGTTGTGCAACAATGAACAGACTTATGATATAAATGTTTATTACATTAAAAACACAGAATTTAAACATATTTTAGTGCATTAATTTACATTATGATGTCCCTAAATTAAAACATACTGAAAAAAGTAATGTTTACCATATCTGCATAGCATGGACTCATGTTTAGAAATGTCTAAACAAGTTCTTAAAATGCTAAAAATTTACTTTTGATAGCATATACACATTGTTTGGTGATAAAAGAAAGTAATACATATGTGCAACCATTCTCAGCCAAAATATGCCATATTTTGAAAGCATGTTTAGTGATTCTGTTACTACCAATTTTAATGGGAAGCAAAGCAGTTAATAAATTCAGCCATCACTAACAAGAACTGAAAAGGCTGAGTGAAATCTTGCTTCCCAAAAGCCATTTTCTGTGGGTGCTGATTTATTGCTCCTACACAATGATCAAAAAGCATTCAGTGGAAAGGACAAAACAAAATACATTTATATACACTTCCTTTCGTAATAAATGTAATTTAAAGCTAATGAACTACAGGGCAATAGTGCTGCAACCCATGAAAACCCCAGTAATGAAGAGTAGCCTTGGCACAGCGTTAGAAGGGCTGCCAAGGACCTCTCCCTACGTGGGGAACAGGCTGAACACAGCCTTGACTTGGAAAACCACAACATTATGAATTTGGATGCAGCAACCACCTCTAGCGTCTGCAGTCCATGCAGGAACATTTTCTATGGTATTTTTTATAAAGACACATACACTGCAAAGCCCATTAATTGACAAGCTATTTATTTATGCAGTGTTAGATTTTCTGGCTAAAACACAGCAATTTCCTTTGGAAATTTATTTTACAGTATATTACAGCTCAAGCTAATAGGCTTGACAGCTTACATTTTCCTTTCACTTAATTTCATTCCTATTAGTCTCTGCCCTAGTAAGCTTCCTATGCTCTCTGACATCTTTCTCTTAGGGCTTGTCTTCACTGCAGGAGCATTTCAAGTTAGAGCACAATCTTACCTCTTATCTAATGCTGCACTGACTGCACCATTTTAGTCTGTGTACTCAGCTAAATTGGTCTCATCATCGTGTCAGCTGGGTTTTGGCCTACATTTATTTTAATGTAAAATAAAACCTTGTTCTGTTTGGAAAAACTGAAATAAGACAAAAATAAAGAGCAGTCTCTCCATTAAGCTAAACAGTCTTAGCCCTGTGAATGTTAATTAGCATTCCTCCTGCTCAGGGGAAATCATAAGTGCTGGACAAGCAAGGCTTCCTGAGCTAACGGCTTCTTATAATCAGACTTAAAGTTCTGAAGTTGAACTGTGCTGGTTTCCCTGATAGGCTTTCATCCTCTGCTCTATTTTTGATCTTTTTGAAACCCAAAACTTAGAGTGGGAAAATCACGGGAAGACCTACATATTTTACAGTAGTTATATCAAAGCCATCGAACTTCTCTAAGAAGGAGTACATCTCCAAAGAACAACTTGAGATTCCTCCCAGCCTGCAAGGTCAGCTTGAGCAGTGGTTTCCTTTCATTTTCAAATTATAAAAATGTCTAGTTTATAATCCAACACTGAAACTGAGAAACCAGTATAAAAATCAAGCAAGAACAGGACTTAATTTTCAGCATGACAGTCCCTGGTAAGTATCAATCCTTTAATGGCACAGCTTTAAAGAAGAGAAGCCATGCCAGGCTCAGTTTTGTCAGAGAGAAAATACGCAATTGGCTGCTGGTCAAATGAAAATAGAATCTGAGCAGAGGCAATCACCCCTCAGCAGTGAACTAGGAAAAGAGGGAGTATGTCATTGGTGGCAGAAGACAGCTGTATGCCTCCAAGAACATCAGAGCTGACAGTACAATGTACACTAACTATATTCTGCTTATTTACTCTTTGATTATGCATGATCTTAAAAGCCCACACGTTAAACATATCAAGGTCTATTTTGACACATATTCATTGTTTAGCAGAAGTTGCACCCGTAAAAGAGCATCAGTAAAATGATTTTTCTTAAGTATTTTGTTTTACCGAGTCTGAATAAAGCAGACACTGACCAGGGGAAAGTTAAGTTCCAGAAACAAGTTCCTTGCTTTCTGAGCAAACTTGTACAGACAGATCCTGATTATGTGATATAACATTATACAGGAGGAATTTGGCACCAAGAAGACACAAACCAGACTTGCATTAAGTAAATGTATGAGGTAACCTCTGGGAGTTCACAGTCACACTGATGGGCTGAGTACAGTCAGTATTTCTACACAGTAATGCCCAGAAACCCCAACTGTCTCTAAGTTCCCAATCTGTCATACAAATAGGCCTGATTCCTTCCTTGACAAGAAATCTAAGAAAAAATTTAATCAAGAAAATTTACAGTATATATAATCCAGGATTTTGTAATTGCTCTTTTTATTCCAATCTGTTCCCCTAACAGTGACAGACAAAGAAATGTAACCAGCAGCCTTACAGACTGTGCTGCAGAGATCAGTGCCTGGGGCTCCTGGTGTGCAGGTGAGAGTGGAACATCCAGGGGCAGTCACTGAATGATCAGGGCTCCTCTCTGCTTCAGAAAGCTCATCTCTAGAAACATTGAAGCAACCCTAAGGAAAAGGTTCAGGCCTCCTAAGATTCCACAGGACAGTCATGGCCATATTAAGCAGCCACAGTCACTTCACCTTTAGTTTGACTGTGATGGTTATTGGTCTTGACCGTTTATATCATGTATGAACACAGGCAGTGACAGAGTCACTGCAAAACTTGTAACCTAAAAGAACAGACCAAAGGATGGGGATAAATATTAGACATGCAAGTAAATGACCCTGGTGATCTGCATAACTCTTTAAAAAAAGGGTTTTCTGATGAAGTCTTTGGTCCGGGAACTACTCCAAAAATTCACATGCTGGTCTGAATAACTAAAAAACCTGGAAATCTGTCAAAGTACAGTTTTTTATCTTTTCAGTATTTATTACTCAGATGTTCTAGAAATACTACAGCAATGGCTGCCTTCATTAAGTCTTTCTTCTTACACACCTATCCAGAGTTGCAAAAGTGTGCAACAATGAAAAACTATTGTTTTGATTCAAAAAAATGTCTCAGCAATCTCTACATACAAATACTATTAAGGTAATTTACCCAAAAAGCAGGAAAAAGATTGTTCATAAGCAATCAGACACTTAAGTACTCATTTATCTGATTTGTTATTTAAAATCAATTAGATATATTAATTAAATATTACACTTGCACTGTATGAGTCTCACAGGTTTATTTTACAGGAAAGTATTCCCACAGTCACTTGACAAAAATACTCTTGAGTATTTTCACGGGTCAAACTGAGTGTGAACTGAGACCTTTCTTTGTAACATTTTCAGTATTAATACAACTATTCCACAGTCAGAAAGAAACTACTGGTTTTGCAGCAATCTAAATGCACTAGAACAAGATTATTAGTATTTGAAGAGAAAAATCCCTACAATACAAAAGAAAACATTTTAGTCATTATATGGAGGGTACATTTTTGAAGGGTTGTAAATGTGGGAATAACCAAATTTAATGTCCTTAAAAGAGGGATTGCAAATGAGTAGACATTTTAAAGTGTGACTCCCAGTAGTTATCAGGAGTCTGAACTCTTCTGCTCTATCACCTTCTCCAAATAAAAACTCCTTGGTACTGATAATAGTGAACTGAAGAATTAAAAAATGTCTTAAATCCATTCAGGATTATTGTCAAAGTGGCCACAGTGATAATATGCATTCAACTGTTAACACATACAAACTATTTATACATTTACTTGCCTATTTATAATGAAGAAAAGAAATTATAAAAAGAAAAGATAGCGTGGAACGAATGTGAGAAAGTCATCATGTGGGGAGGCAGAGTCCTGTAATGGGCAGGAGACTGAGGCAGAACAGGTGACTGGCAACGAGAACGTGAGAGGAATTCGAGGAAGCACAGCAAGAAGTCTCAGTAGTGAGAACAAGCCAAAAAACAGCACTGCAAGAATCTTTTGTCTCAAGCTCTGTCTGGAAATTATAGTGGCTTTCTTGCCTCTTAATATGGTCTCTCCTTGGGGAGGACTCACCATTTGAATGCTCAAACTCAGCTCTCCTGTGCTTGCAGACTTGCTACACCTTTTGAAAGTCACCATGTGTCACCTCACATCTTCTGTCTTGTAGGACCAATATTTATGTGGTTTGTAAGAGTGTTCTTGGTCCTGCACTGAAGGGAATTAAACATGGACCTCTTCCAAAGGCCACTTATGTCAATGGGAAAACTTCCATCCCTGTTTCTGTACTTTAGATCGGACTTCATATCCTGAAAACACGAAAACCTAACAGCAGCAAAAATATCCTCCTCTTAGTGCTCTAAAGCACTAATACATTTTCAATTTTCTAATTGCCATTTTGACAATCTTTACATGAGTTAAGGCACATTTCAACACGGCATCGGGAATCAAACCATGAAACCTTCGACTCCATAGAGCACCATTACAAAATGTAAATATTTCATAGAGAAACTTTGTGCACTTTTTCAACACACAGTTTTTAAGTAAAAAATTTCTCCTTTGTTAACTTGAATTCTGCCACAGTGCTGGAATGGCAATGTTTTACTTGGAAACACATAGAACAACACCCATACAGATGCATTTGTTGGACTTTTCTGTTACTACAAATAAATCAGCTGTCTCTAACCCCAAAAAAATATTTTCAAAATTATTATTGAATTATTAAATAAAATGAAAGAAAAAACATAATGCAAATCAAACACACTCCAAACACGTCAGTTTTAGAGACAACCCAATGAAATATAGCAGTGTGCAGAAAGCAAAGCCTGTAGAAATTGGGCATATTATGGAAAGAAAAAAAATTGGTCACCCGTGCAAAATTACCCCTATTTGCCATCTGAGAACTGACAATGAAGTCAACTGTAAAGGCAGCTGAGACCAGCAGACTTCACCTAATTAAAATATTTGGAGGAGGGAGAAAAAAATAATCAATGTATACATATGCATATACAGATATTTGACTAAAAGCCACTAGTTCTAATTAATATCATTTATAGACATATATATCTTAGCTGCCTACTTCACTAAAGCCATGAGAAATTTAGTTGCTCTGTATCTGCACACTTGTTTTGGTACACAGAGATAGATTAAACCTGGAAATGTGTCTTTCTGAACTGAGTAGCAAGTAAATACCTCTAATTTAATTTAAAAAAAAAAAAAAAAAAAAAAGCAGGTAAAAAAATCTTGTGAATTACTTTTTATCTGACCTTCAACAGCCAGGAAAATACTTCTGCTTATTCCTAACCTAGATCCATATGCCACCCTCTCTCATTGAATGTAAGGGCCGAAAGAGAACTTGAACAATGCTGTCAATATTATTAAATTAATGTGACAGACTTTTATAACTGTTTTTCAGAGCAGTGGAACTAATTTTTTATTGGTTTCTTCATGTTTCTTTCAATAATATGCTAAACAAGGTTATGTAATGACACTGCCATGATACTCAGACTGCCAGAAAATTAAAACTACAGGGGGATCAGAGCATAAACAGAGCTCCCTGTCTTTCCCTGTCCCTCATTCAGTGCACAGAGCTGGGTTGCCTGTGACTGAGCCTCACTGCTCTTCAACCAGAAACACCTCTGGAAAATGCTGACAAAAGGGAACCGTGTTGCTCATTAGCATATTTACAAAACATTCACAGCTCTAATTCCATTCCCTTTACGTGGTTCTATCAGCAGCCCTCAATGCAGGAGCAGGCACATCAGTCGGTATCTCAGCAAGTTCCCAAACACTTGTGCTGGTCTCTTGTTCCAGCTGCAGTTCCTGCCCTCTGAAAGGTGCAGCTGTGCTTTAAGGCAACAGAAACCTTTTGTGCTCTCCTGGCTGTGATATGGAGATTACCAGTCAGCCTTGAGGCTGCTCCTTCCATTGCTTTTGAAATCTGCTTCGGGAATTGGAGATTCCCAAGGGATGTAATATTTTGCCAGTGCTACTGGTAACAGAGAACCCAGAAAGAGACAAGGTAACTGTACTGAAGCTTTATTTACTGATGTCATAGCAATTGCTATAAACAAATTCAAATCCTACAAGCTTCTTCACCTACAATAACCAGCTTTAGAAGGTACAATGTTTGCATTTAAAATTCTGGGAACCAGTGCAGCAGTTAGGTCTCCTTATAAAGGAAAAGTAGGCTGCAAGATCTCATTTAGAAGCACATCTTACAGAGAATGAGGCTCATAAGACTGTGGCTTTTACTGTTCTTACAAAGAAAAACTGAGCTTCAAAGAAGAAACTGGAGGCGCTGGAGGAGAGCCAAAAAAGTCATAGTCAAGTATGGAATATATTAAAAAAAGCTGGATCTCCTCTAGAACAAAAAATTATCCCTCTGGGGTTTTTTGTTTTGGTGGGTTTTGTTGTTTTGGGGTTTTTTTCAAGCATTAAAACTGCTTTGCACTGATAAAAGTCATCTAAACAGTTGGTATAAGGATGTTTCCCATCAAAATTTGACCAGCACTTTTTAGCATAATGTCTCTTGTATATCCTTAATCCTGTTGAAAAACTGAACACTTTAAAAATAGAAATTGAGATGACAATAAAAAGTATAGAATCAGTTACATTTTAAGTGTGATATTTGGAAGGATATAATCATACTCTATTTAGGACATATCCAGAAGGACATAATAATAAATTCTCTCATTTTTATTCTTATTTAATATTGCAGTCATTCGCTTTGCTCTAATAATGCTTATTTTATAAGTGGTATTGATTAAATCTGCAATTTTAAGATAAGTCCACAAAAAGTTGCTATTAAATAATAATTTTAATAATTATCATTTTAAGGGCCTACTTGTTTAGAGGATTTAAGATGAAGTGTATCAACTTAAGTAGGACTTTGACACTTCAGTGTCCTTGTGGAGCTGTCACTACATTATTTAGGAGCACCAGTACTAACAGAAGCTATGAGTCATTCAGGCTGTGATTCCACAGTGTATTTCTCTTGTTGGCAAAGCTGACTTAAGCAGTTCCTGCCACCACCTCTATATCTTAGCAGCTCATTTGTTCTCTTCACCTTGCCCCAAGCCCCTCATTTTAATCCTTTGTTTGTGCCAATACACAGGTTTGTCACTCTCCAAGGTGAAGCAGATTGGAGAAATTATCTGTGTTTTGAATAGCTATACAAACCCTCCTCACACATTTTGGCAGAGAGATTCCTAACTCAGAGTAGGCCCCTGATCAGAATAACCAAGCACCCTACCAAACAGGCAAGGTGATATCGGGTTGCCTACAAGCAGGTTGGGATGAAGAACAGGAGAGAGCAGGGAACCATTTCAGTCAGCTTTACTTCCAAGAGAAACGTTTGTAAAACTGTGACCTTGGACGTCTCATCTTAGGGACAAACATCCATCCTCACAAATCAGGGGTGTCCAAACTGCCTTACTAAGGGGTAGCTCTTCAGTAGGCTTAAGCCATGATCACGACAACCTCGCTGCAGTTCGTGGTCACTTTGCAAAGGACAAAATTCACTGCCTTAAACGGGAACCTCGTTGCCAAGAACGTGTTGCTTTGTTGGACAGGAGCAGACAGATGTGTCCCACCAGGGGTAGGTTCCAACAGCAGTGGGTGGACAGCACAGTGATGCAGGGGGTACCCGAAGGTATCGGGGTTGAGGTGAAATGGGTCATTCTGCAAAGGTGCTCATCTCTTACTGCAGAAACTTCCCACATGAGTCTAGACTCCAATTAAGTTTAAAATCTGACCTCTGTAATTTTCTTCTTCTCTCACTGCAGATTATGACTTTTCTCACACAGCAGCTGTATTTTAAAACTACCTGCAGTCTCAAGGACAGTAACATTTCTTTCAAAAACTACTATGCAGCTTGGCTCTACAGCAATAAATGACTGAGGCTGCCAAAACAAGTGTTCATTTCTCAGATACAAAGTCATAAATGTCTTCAGAAATGCATCCTGACACCAAGGATTACTACAGTTATTTTTAAAACAGCTGCCTACAGCTAAAGGAATAATTTCTTGATAATATCCTCAAAGATTTCCACAGTAGGAAGCAGCAGTGAAAACACTGCTTTGCTCATTAGTACAAAGATATTCATAATACTACCAGACTATTCAAATGTCCTGCACTCTACAGTTAAAATGTCTAGGAATTCTAAACTAATTTCTCTGTAAACAGTTCTGGTGCAAAACACCTTGTAAGTGATACATGAGCAAGTTAGAAAGCATCACACAGTTCTGTGCTGCACACAGTAAAGGGCATTTTGAGGGCACAACTGCAACAGGTTGAAGCTCTATTACTTTTTCAGAATGGCTAAAAGAGTATAAGGGGAAAAGGTTACTCTGAGTACTGCAATAACTTACTGGTCCTTGAGCCAGTCCTTAACAAAAGGAATGGAAAAGAATTCTGTGAATGACTCATCTTTTCTCTTTGGGTTCTTGCTAAAACAAAAAGGAAAACAATTCATATTAATTTAAATTTCAGCTATTCGATTTGAAAATTAATGCCTTTGAATCATTGAGTATAATTAATAGCAAAACCCATGATTAACTTACTTGTATAACCACTCAGTTAGGAAATCAGAGGCAATAAATTTGGTTCTTCTTCCCTAAAGATAGAAGACAGTTTCAAATTATTTATTATCTTTGGATTGGTCATATGTTTTTACTACTGGAGAGGAACAGAAGCTAAATTGACTGCTTTTATTAAATAAAATATACAGTCCATTACTCTGTCTACTTTAAAATTGCTACTGCCAACAGTCAGTGACTCTGCCAAAATTTTAGAAATTCTGTGGAATGCTTTCAAGACAAACTATGAGTGAGAAAATTCTACATATATTATCTTGATATTTGCTGCAGTATATCTAGAATTAATACCTCTGAATGGTGATCTTTCTAAATGGTAGTCTCGAGGAAGTTAACAGAACTCATTCATACATGAAAATATGTTGTCAGTTACTTGCCATTTTGCTCAAAGTTCTATTATCATACTTAAAATTCTTCATTTCTTCCAAGACACAAAAGGAACATTGATTGGGTATTGTTTCCTCCTGCATGGAACCAGCTTGAAGGCATTGTGAATACTTTAGACACACACAAACAGAGTACTGTATGGCTGCTCAGACCAAATCATGTCACGTGGTCCAGAAAGGAAAGCAAAAGCGAAGGAAGGGATATGTTTGTCCACAACCACAGGTACCATGGAGCTTCAGAGCAAAACATTTGAGCCCTTTGCTCTCAGTCCTAAATCTCCACCAAAAAAAAAAGAGAATTTTGCAAAATGCCTTGCAGCAGGTTCTCCTTAGGGGCTCATGCAGCCAGTACCTGCTCAGCTGGACAGCCAGCTGTTCAAAGCATGACTTTTGGTTAACACACAATGGGTTAGGACCCTCCTTTTCTTAAGGATTTCCTCCCCTGAAATGAATGTATAAATGAGTACAGACTGAATGTATAAATGAGCACAGACTGAATGTATAAATGAGTACAGGTGCTGATTCTGCTTATCACAAGCCAGAGGAACCACGATGTGGGGAATATAACGTGGACTTCCAGTTGGAATAACAGAAGAGCTTGACTGGTATCTTTGGAACGGCTCTTGACGAGTTGTGTTATGGATGTACAGTCATGAGTGAGCACAAAGACACATTCAGCCTCTGTAGACCAGAGACACCAAGGACTTTATCACAATTTTACAGTCATCTAAATTCTACACTTTGACAACAAAATTCAATTTAATCTAGCAGTTGTAATTTAATCTGTTTTAAGTAAATTGCTTTTCCTCTGCAATGGGAAAAATGATCAGAACAGGGTTGTCAAAACAGCCATCACCAAAGGAATCAAATTCATCTTGTTTTATCCTTGTTAGAGGCAGTGAACTTATCAGGGAGGAATTCAGTCAAGCTCAGTATTTTTTTATTTTGTTATTTTTTTGCCAGGAAACAGTTTATTTTGCTAGCGAATTAAATCATTAGCTGCACAGCAGTCAACATTTATAAAGGGAAAAAATTACATAAATTGACCTGCCTTTGACACATTCCTCCTATGTGCTGCATGAATCAGGACAAACACAGGAAATATCTGCACAATGTGCATTGTTAACCTGCAGATGGGTTTATAAACTACTTATATTCGGAATTCATTTTCCACTTTTCAGTTTAAGTGTTATGGGCTTGGTAATAATCATGAGAAAACACTGGTGATCAGAAGATGGCAAAGTCATTAGGAAACCTTTTTCCATTCCCTTTCCCTGATGTATCACACTTTAAAATATAATATATTCCATTACAGAACCTGATACAGCATCTTCCTTCAGTAGGGTAGCTTACTAAAAAGAAAAGCCAGAGCTATGCTAATAAAAACATTTATACATTGTTCAGTTTTAATGCTGAAAAATGAATGCATTAGTCAGTTCTCATGAGAGAAAAGATTTAAGAAAATAGTCTTTCCCCTGGAGGCATTTGACAGCAGATAGGATAAAGCACAGGAGAACCTATGGTAGGGGAAAAAAAAAATCAGTGAGGGAATACACTGGGCAACCTAACAGGTTTCTTTCATCTCTACTTTAAAAACGAAGCTTCTGAAGACTGTTCTCATGTTTCTGGCAGTTTGAAGTCTGCACATCTATCTGGCAGCTGGGGGGTTTTCTAGGTTTTTGCTTTTCAGACTTTTCATATGCATTACATAATGCAAGAGAGCCTATTTCAAATGAAATGTTTGAATTGGTATGTTGCTGTATCACCTTCCAAAGAAGATGTTGCAGATTTCTTTCCTACACAAATCACTACTTCCAGCATAACTGTCTCCCTTTCCTAACTTTCCCCATGTGATTACAATTCTTCCTCTCCAGACATGGATGCATCTTTTCTGGTCTCTTCCTCTGTTGGTTCCATGATCTGACCTTGCTTACCAGTTTCAATTACTGAACAACTTAATTTTTCATTCTCTTCTCATTCATCTTAATTTCCTTTCAAAACATGAAAACTTTTAGTCCCTCTCATCAAAATCCCACTCTTCATTCTCCCTCACAATTCCCTCTCCCTTCTCCCAGGCTCATTCAACATTGACTGCAGTCAGTTCAATTATTCCTCCCTTTCTTCCAGTGCTCCTTCCATTAATCTTCCAGTGGTTTATTCTGTACAACTGCCCTTTACAGGCTTTAATGACTCATGTCTAACCAAAATTCAAACCCAGTATTCTCATCCTTCATGATTTCAGTCAGCTTAATCACAATTAATCTTTTTCTTCTCCCATTCTCTCGTGAATTGCGTGAATCTTTAAAATCTTTGTTCTCCTCCTGTTTTTTGAAGCTATTTTCCAGTGTGTTTATCACAAAATCCTTTCTCCCTGTTTCTACTTTGCTCTGGGTTTGATCTTAAAAATCAGTTCAAGTTATTTCATGAACTATTTTGATACAAATTATAGCATGGGGTTTTTTTTTCTCCAAATCCACGTGGATAAATACATTTCTTACGAAACAAAAGTAGAAATAGAAGTCACGTATTTAGGTCAGATAAGGAAGCAGAATGTCCAAGTACAAGCACCTGGACAGCAATGGAAAAGAACACAAATATTCAGTTATATGGCAAGCATAAAGAGCTATTGTTTTACTAGTTATTGTTCAAAAGGAGGAAGAAATGATATCACAGTGGAAAAGTATCATTTAACATAAGCTTGCTCTCCCTAAACTCAGTTCCCCAATATCAGGTCATCTCTTTAGGTAAGCATCTTTTCTATGAGCTATACACATTTTTATGAAGATTCTAAACATTAGAAAGTAATTGTCTTTATCAGTTTGCTGTAAAGAAACACACAGACCCATACAAAATCCATTTTCAGAACACATACTTTCTAACATATATATACACAACTGCAAATCTTCTCAGATTAAAAATAGACAAAGTAACCTTAGATTTGTTCCCAGTTTGAAACTGAAATATTTCTAAGAATATTTTTTGTATTAAGCGCTGGTTTATTGCCTCCAGAAATAGGAAAAATCCATCAAGGACTGTATTTGCAATCAGTTGCAGGACATGTCTTTTTCCTGTTAAAAGATACATGCTTCCTTAAAAAAAAAAATCAATATAGATTTTATTAAAAGTGTGATGAATAATATATATGTTCAATCTGTTCTTGGCTAGGTAATGTAAATGTGATGGCAGGAATGATGGACAGGGATGTCATGTAAATGAACCTTTTTCCTATTTCACCTGTATTAATCAGAGATTATAAATGAATACACACACACCTGTAAATCAGTTTATAGATACACAAATTTTGAGAAAAGTGATAAAATTTTCAAATAACTGTTATTAAATGTACAGATTTGGATTTGAAATTCAAGTAGCCATGGGTGGAGAAAAAGCAGAAATTATGGAAGACCCCACAACTCCCAGTACCTAAGCTGATGTTGGGGGTCTGTGAGTCAGGCTGTGGTGTTACAATGAGCTTTATTTTGCACCAGTTCTAGTGGGTTTTTAAGCATTGGCAATATACAGCCAGGAATGTCTCTCTAGATATGCCTACAGACACATACACTGAAAACAAATTTATGTAAGTTTATGTAGCAAACAATTATTTTTTAAATGTGTATTTTTATAAGCTCATTAATGCTGAATATCCTGTTTTCCAATTAAATGGAATTTACACAGAATGTTAAAAAGCTAAAATAGAAAATTTATCTCTATTAGGATGCCAGGCCAGCAAACCATGAAGTAAGAATCAAGTTCTGTACATCACCCTCAAATGAGTGATGTGTATTAATCTGAGAGGAAGCCTGTTTCTCTAAAATATAACACTATTTAAGCTAGATACAAATGGATATTTAAGGAGGATTTGTTGGGAGCTAGAGATCATCATAATGATCAAGTGTATGTAGTATGCAATCTGTTCTGAATTACTGAAGAAAACAACATTTAAAACCAGGTCCAAAATAACTTATTATATGTTATATCATGTAATTGTGGTTGGTTTTCTTGCAAAAGACCAAATTTAAAAAAGACTTCCTATGAAACAAAAAGGCTGTAACTTCCTGACAATGGTTTGAAACAAAAACTACAAACTAACCTCAAAACATTTTTCTTTCTCTGCTTCATGCAGAAGTTCAGCCAGTCCAGGTAAGAGTACTGGAAATATGTAGAACTCTAAGTATTCTCGTGGAGAACCTGAGCAAAACAGGACAGCCTTCACTTACAGGTAAGCACTCCAATTTCACAAAAAGGCAAATGTCAGAAATCACACACTCAGTACCAGTCATTTTATCAACACCATCCCAGCTTGCACTAAACAGATTTGTTCAGCTCAGATACAGCCACTGATCTGTGTTTTCAGCCAAGACAACATAAACTTGAGCAAATTTCAAACTAAGGATGCACCAACAGTGCAGACTCAGGGTGCCCCAGAGATGTCAGACTTAGTTTTAAGTGAGTAAACTCAGACACCAGAAGCAGTTTAGTCACAGAAATGAAAAGCAATGTGGACTAATCTACCCTGACAGGAAGAAGTTAGCCTGTGCTGAACTCAGTGCTGTTACAGCCAGACCACTTTTGGTATTTCATGCCCTTTACAATCTGCATTATCAGAGTTGGTCACAAAACTGAATTTCTAGACAGAGGAAAAAACAGAGGTTATATTTCAGTGTGATTTCTTTGTCATAAATACTTCATACTTGCCAGATGCTTCAAAATTTGAATGTGACTCTATATATCTGATTTTTCCCCTTTCTGAGGGCTGCCTGGGTTGGCATCTCTCTCCATTCAGGAATTATTCAGGTTTTGGTGTGCTCAGTAAAGATAAGTCATAGATTGGTTCTCTTCTGGCAACACAGCTGAAACACTGAATGTATTCTCAGCTTTGTATCTTTAATTGGTTTATATACTGCCAGAAAATGTTCATAATTGGAAAGACACTATTTATTTAAAAGCCCAGGGTAACTTCTGACTAGCACCAGAAATTCCAAATGAGCAAGAATGAATGGAAGAAAATAGGAAATGGAGTGCTAAAATGCGTAATAAAGACACACTGCTGCTTGGTAATTTTTATAAAGTATAGAGATTGATAAAAGTGGAAGAACAAAACTCTAGAGCTGTTTCCATTCTCATTTGTAATCAGATGGGCACAGTCATATTTTGACAGCAGTTTTCAAATTCAATTGTCTATTTAGTCTATTGATGCTAGTTTTGCATTACTACATTAGAGGAAGAAATGCTTGCCTTTCTCTGATTTAAATGGCTAAATAGAAAGTCACTTACTCAGAAGAGCACAGAACTACCTCAGCCAGTCACTGGTTGCAGTGCACCATTTGAAATTTCTGCACTGACCAAGTGCCCAGGCTGGCTCCCTGTTTACAGACCAGGGGCCTAATCGTGCCAGTTCCATGTGAGAAAAGGTGCTGAAGCTGTTAACACTCTCAATTAAACAAATTACAAACCCTTAATATGCTCCTACTTACATGTTTTTGGGTCAGGTGGTTCTGAAGAGGGGGCTGCCTCAGCTTTAGGAAGCAACTGTTGGTCAACAGTACCAGCTGCAGGGGCAGAATTGACATTGTTCCATGTCTAATGGCTGCAATATTCCTGCTTCCAGAGACACCTGTTCAAGATAAATGTAACCTATCTAAATACTCCAACAGACTACACAAAAATATGCAAACCAACTCAGTAGGAAAAATTATAGGGCAAATTAAGAATTATGGATCTATAACTTCTAATTCAAATATTAAATTATTTTTGTATTTTCTGAGTGCTACTCAAGTTGCTTTAAATAAAAGCAATTATTTGGACACTACATTTGTTGATTCAAACAAGTTGTTTAAAAACTGTCATTTTGTTTTCATTTTATGAATGAGTCTACCATGTGGGTATCTAATTTTCCCATTTAGTTATTTTAAATCTTTTTAAACCAGCCCTATGCAGAATTTTTTCTTGAAATGTACTCACAGATTCTTGTTTTGATTGAGGAACATCTGGAAATTGAGGGTGTTCTGCTTCATACTCTAAAAGTGAAAAAAAAAAAAGTCCATTTACCAGAAGACTTTAATTTAAAAACATATTTATTTTCCTCCTAAACAAGTGTTCCTTTCTAAACCTACTTATTTGCGTTTGAAAGAAATTAGTATACAATAAATATTTGTTAAACATGAAATCGAATGTTTTAATACAAGTGAGAACTTTAGAGCTCCTGTCATGGCTGTAAGTCAAGTGCAAGGTTCTCAGTGATAAAAGAGCCTTTTATAGGGGAAAAAGATTTTTAACCAAAATAATAATTTAAAATATTTCAACACAAGTAAAATGCAGATGCTTGCATGGAATTAACCATTGTTTTTACTAGCAGACAATACTGCTTTTCACAGTGGATTCCTCTATAAGCAATTATATCCCACAGACATTGCTAAGTATCATTGTCTCCACTTTCAAAAAAACCCAAAGAAGAAAACAAAACAAACACCCAAAAAACCACCAAAGACCACCAAAAAACCTAAAAGAAGTACATGACTCTCACTGATTAGTGAGTGACTCAGGATAAGGAAATGGACTTGATATGAAAAAATTTACAGATTACACAATACAGAACACTCAGAGCCAAACCCAAGAGGTTCACTGTTCCAGTAATTAGGTTTACTGGCATCACCCAATCCATGTGTACTACAGATGTCTTAGCCGAGTTATCTTAGAATTAACAACTTCATTCCCACATTTAAAACGCCTGCTTTAACACGAAATGCCTACTTTAGTAATTATAAAGCGGTAAGTGGAGAGAACCCCATTTGGGAACTGCAGAACTGCAGCGCTGCTCTCCCGGCTTTCCAGACTTTGGCAAAAGACCAAGACTTTCCGCTGTTGGAAGGGGGCTCTGAGAGCAGGAGTTTCGCGTTCTGTTCACTTTTACAACAGCGGTAACACGGGTGGCCACCGCTCTGGTGTCCCGGGGCAACCCCCGGACGGGACGAGCCTCAGGGCGCCGGGCGAACCGGGGGCCGCGCCAGGACCACCGGGAACACGCCGAGGGCACGTGTCCGCCAGGAGACGGGGGCAACACAAAGCAACACAACCCTCACACGAGCGGAGACGCTCCTGGCCCTTCCCGAAGGGGTGGCACGGGCGGGTTTGGGGCAGCGCTGAGGGGAGCGCGGGGGGGAGGCTGAAGAGCCCTGGGGGGGAAGGGGAGGGAAGAGCCATAGCCGGGCGAGCGCTGCGCTCCCACCTGCGCGCTGAGCTCCCGGTCCAGGGCCGGGCTCTGTCTGTCCCTCCCCGGGCTCTCTCTGTCCCTCCCCGGGCTCTGTCTGTCCCCCGGGCTCTGTCTGTCCCTCCCCGGGCTCTGTCTGTCCCCCAGGCTCTGTCTGTCCCTCCCGGGCTCTCTCTGTCCCCGGGCTCTGTCTGTCCCCCTGGCTCTGTCTGTCCCTCCCCGGGCTCTGTCTGTCCCCCGGGCTCTGTCTGTCCCTCCCTCCGCCAGGGCCGCGTCCCCGTCGTTGCCGCGGCAACGGCTCCGGCAGCGCCCGCGCTGGCGGGGCGGGCCCGGCGCGTTCCCTTCCGGGGCGGCGGGCGCTGCACGAGGCCGCGGCAGGTGAGGGGCGGCCCGGCCGGGATTCGCCGCTCCCGGGGAGCCCCCCGGGCAGCACGGGCGGACACCGGGTCGGGAGCGGAGCGGGGCGCGGGGGGGACCCCTCCGGCCTCGGTGTGCGGGTGGGTGGGTGGGCGCAGGGGCTGCCGCGGCTCCCGACAGGAGGCCCTGACAGGCGGGGGTTGGTAAAACGGTGCTTACCAGGCTTAGGGTTTCTGTAAAGGGTTTTGACAGGGTGTCTTGCAGGCGGCGCTCATAGGAATCCCCATGGATTAGTTTTTGATTAAAAGGTGGGAAAACAAGTAGGGATAAATGGGTTTCTCGGCGAAGGCGGGGAGCGTCACCAGGCGGGTGCCGGAGGGTTCTCTGGGGTGACCTGTTGGTAGGTGCGAGTGTCCCGAGAGAGGAGACGGAGAGCAGGGATGAGAAACGGCAGACAGGAGCAGATTTAAGGTAATAACTCGGGTGCCTTGAAAGGATCCTGCAGTGCTGAGTGGGCACTAAAGTGATGTGATGTGAAGGTCAGTGTTAAGTAAGTGAAAAGTCATAGGTATCTGGAAAACCATCGTAACTGGACATCTGTCTGTATATGTGTGTGTGTATGTATATGTTTTGCCATTTAGGAAAGATTTGTAGAGGGTAGGTATTACTGTGAAGATGTCATGCTCTGCAGCTGTCAAAAGGAAGAAACAAACAGACCAGCTAAATAGGGCAAGTTACACTAAAGAACAAGACAAAAAATCAAGCCAGTGGACGGTGTTTTCTGGACTCCATGCAGTTCTGTGTCCCCCATAACGAAAAGCAGACTAAAATTAGAAAGAGAGTGGCAGGGACTATTGGAGATATGGAATGGTTTCAGAATAAAGGGAAGCCAAATAGAGTAGGGCTTGTATCATCTCTTATTATCTCTTATTAACATCTTAATTTCATTTTTTAGAATGATAATAAAGAAAAAGAGAAAAGAATTTCATGAGGAACCTATACAGAAGAAGAAAAATGTGAAGACTGTCATTAAAATTGAGGAAGATGTTCCAGCTGTCATTAAAATTGAGGATGATGGCAGCCTTGAGACAAAAACAAAGACAAGGAAAAAGGTACATTTAAAAGATGAATGTTTAGACCAATTACAACCAAAGAACAAGAAGAAGAAAAACAAAAAAAAGAAAGCTGGCTCCGAATTACTCAAAGAAGCACATTCAGAAAGCTCTATGATTGTAAAAGGCCACCTGGATTCAGAACTTCAAGAGGAACCAGAGGAACAAATTAAAATTCTCAAAAAGAAGAAAAAAAAAGTCCCGTGTCATTCATCCTTAGAGGAGGATGATGAGAGTAGTGGCATGAAGCTTTCAAATCGTCCTATAGATGGTATTAAGAAAACTGAATATTCTTTAAAAAAACCCAAAAAGGATGCTGCTTTGAATTTGGAACTGAATGGTGAGGTAACAAAGAAAAAAAAGAAGAAAGGCAGTTCTTCTTTTTCATTAGAGGACGTCCAGGACAGTGAACAGAAGCAGTCTGAAAGAGTTTGTAAAAAGCCCCACAAATACATTTCACAAAAAGTAGCATTTACAGGTGAAAACCATGACACACATAATGTCCAGAATGATGGGGAGAATTGTGTGAGAAAAAAGAAGAGGAAGAAGAAGGATAAGTCTGACTCCTTTTTACCACTGGCAGATAATCAGGACAACATATCTGGAGTTCCTGGTAGGCCCATTGCATTAAGTGACTTCAGAAAAAGGAAGAAGCAGAATTCCTGGGAAATTGCACTGACAAATAGAGAGGAAGAGGACACAACTGAGGACTTTGGGAGTATCAAAGGGACTAAGAAGAACAAGAACAGAAGCAAATGTGTTTCTTCCTCAACATGTGAAGATCGGCGAGACTGCAGTCACAGCATTCCTGATAAGTATCTCCTGACACAGCAAGAAGTTGGCTCTGAGGAAGAAGAGCTGCCTGGAAAAAAGAACAGGAAGAATTTCAAGGGTAGTAATGAAGTCACCAAGAAGAAAAAGAACAAAAAGATTCCCAAAGAGGAGGAGGAAACAACATATTCAAAAGTTGCTTTAAATAATGATAGTGCCTCTAAAAAACAAAAAATAGGACTACTAAAAAGCAATAAAAAGAAGAAAGAGAGTGAAATGGAGCAAGCTGAGCATGTAGCTGGGAATGCTGTAGATGGGGCATTAAGCAATAGTAATCACATGCTCTGTGACAAGAAAGGAAAAAAAGAAAAAAAGTCCTGCCACAGGAATTGACTGAACAACCAGGTTCAAAAGCAAATACAAAAAAGACAAAGATCTTGACAAAAGACACAGGGAATGAGTCACTGGTAAGTTGTAAAGAGGAGGGCAGCTTTGCCCCCTCCTGCTAAGGAATCAAAACCTTTTTAGGTACATTTCCCTACTTTGCAGGCTGTTCTGCAATATTTAGGTGAGTAAGGGCCCTCACTGTTGAGAAACAGGATCAGCTGATCTGTTGATTTTAACACAGTAGTTGTGACACGTGGGAAAGTGTCATTTAATGCCTGCTGTAATCATGCAGTGTTTCAGCTCTGAAAATGTAAATATTACAACCAACAGCAAGTATTGGCATGAAAAGCAAACGAGTGTGTGAAGTCGTAAATGCTCTTCTTCAGCTGCTTTTCACAAAGTGGCAACACTCCTATAAAACAGGATTTACCCTGAGCAGGTTGGTAACACTGGCAGCATCTCACTGTATTTGTTAGACTTTTCCTCAGGCTTTGCTGCTGTTAATCTGGAATTACGTAGTGTTACAAACAAGGGGAAAAATTGGCCAAAGCTTGTTGTCTAACTTGGAGAAAACTTTAGAGCAAATCCTAAGAAGGCAAAGTGTAGACTAGGCCTAGAGCATTGATGTGTAAGTTCTGATAGAAAACTGGAGACCTAAAGATGCATTTTTCATTGAAAGAATAAATCTGTGCAAGAAAATAAACATGGGGAGGAACTGATAAAATATTTGAAATACAGAAGTTTTTTCTTTCTTTGTTTTCCCTCCAAAATGAGACTATTAAGATATTGTTTTATTGCTTTAACATTCTTTTTTTTTTTTAAATCTGGTTAGGGTCATATTTTAAAGCTAAAAGTGCCAAAAGTTAGTACCTACATGCCCAACCTCTGTTGTTATCATTGGGAATTAAGCTTTGAAATGCACAGAAATTCAATAGATATCTATCTGTATTTTTAGCTGCTTAAACAACTTGAAAAACAGTACATTGTAAGTCATCAGGTGCTTGTTTTTATATTTTTGTAGGTAATGGGAGACTGCATTCAGTTGTTTTTTATGAAAAACGCTGAATGGTTGGTGTGTTTGAAAGTCAAGCACTGGTTAATAAGGTATCAGTGAAGATTTTTGTAAACTAAAGATGGAGCAGGCATAGCCTGAGCTGCCTCCAGCACACTTTGTGGTGTGCTTTGCTTTGCTTTGGTGTGCACTTAACGTGCAGTTTCTTCAAGTTCTGTGGAAACCTGGCAGCTGCCTGGTGTCTAATGCTAATAATTAAATACAGATTTATGTGGAGAACCAGATACAGGCATTTTTCACAAGGGTTTGTGAGGGGAGTGTGTGCTTATCAGTCATGAGGTGAGCAGATGTTTTGGGCTTTTAGCTTCAGTTTCTCCTTTTGACCTTTCAAAGGACAAGGTGGTTTTATTTCTGGGATATATTTTCTAATTAAATTGACACTGCCTTTTTGAGGCTGTTAGACATATTTGGATTCTTGCAGCTGCTCACACTGTGCAGAGGCAAGATAAGCCTCACAAAGACATGTAAACTTGCATGGCCAGTTAAAATGAAAACCACAGCAAACACATTGCAAACAATTGAGGAGAAGGGTGTAGGGTGATACCTGTTCTATTTCTCATTCCCATATGCACCTCTGCCCTTTAATAATAAAAAACACTGAAGAGAAAGTCTCCTGAAGATTGAGACGTCTGGGTTAATCAGTTCTAGCAGAATCTAGTTCCTGCCAGGCCTAAAGACACTGCACTAATAAATGGCTGATGATGTTGGTCGTGCATTTAACTGTGCCATAGTCCTGAAACATCCCAGTCTACAGTGAGTCATGCACTGCATGCCTTGAGAAATCCTCTGTGGGGCTTGTGCAGCAAGCAAAAGAATAAGTTCTGAAGACAATGTCAAGTGATACCCACTCAACATCAATGATTGGTATTTTTCCTACTGGATGCCATTACAGTCAATTTGGGCAGAGTGAAGAGGAGCAGGAAGTTGTTTGCCCGCAGGCAGCATGATCCTACCACAGTGAGGGTGCTCCTTTTCCGTGGAGTTGGGGGAAGCTTGGCACACCTCTGTGGGGTGTTTTGTTCCACTCAGCAGCCTTCAGCAGGTCAGCACCACGCTGGGAATTAGCAGGGATGGAGCTGCTCCCCTGTTCCTTGTCTGCCACTTGACCTTCTGGCTAAAAAAAAAAAATATGCTGCAGTTGTTTGCAGAATCCTGTCAACAGTTTTCCTGCTTGTTTTAATAGATCTGAAAAGACAGTACCAGGCCATCTAGAAGTAAACTGGGGGTTGGTTTTAGTTTCTTCTTTTCCTCCAAGAGCATGAGCTCTCCTTACTGCAGATGGTGTTCTCTCATTTTTAATAGTGCGTGGACGTGTGTGTGTGAAATCAAAGGTAGCTTTGGAAAGGGAGATAAATCATTCATGGCTTTTAATAAAACTGTAAACCCTCAAAAAAGTAACAGCAGGTTCTGCTGACAGAAGTATGTTACAAATCTTTTCCTTGTCTTCATTTCCCTGGCTGTTTCATGCTTGGATTATTATGTTAACTGTATCAATAGATCTTCCCCTTGGCCACCTTTTCCAGGCTAGCCTAAAGCTTATGGCTCTAATTTACCACTATCCTGGACTTATTACTTATGCTGTTATACTGGATGCCCGAAAATCTTATCCTAATTACAAATTTGGCAAAGAGAAGCTGAGGGCAGTGATCTAGGAATGCCAGTCAGTGGGAGCCAAAGTTGCCGAAGGGCTGCGCTTTGTGCAAGAGGGATCAGGACGTGGCTCCTGTGGACTCTGCTGCTGATTTACCTGCTGCCATCTGGCCCATCCAGTCCTTCTGGGGCTGCTCTGTCTCATCCCATCAGCTCCCTGTTCCTCGCTCTCAGCTGTGGAACTAACGTGCTGTTTGTTGCAGGAGACACTTGATGTCTGTGTCCTGCCTCTCCCTGTGCTCTTTCCAGACTGGGAGCTCCTTGGGGACCATCATCCACGAGCGAGCACAATGCAGCTCTCTCTTGATTGTTTCTTCTTTGTTTCAGAGAGACCTTTTAATTATTTTACTTCCAGTTTTTAAAATATGCTAACTTTCACTCTCTCTGTCCCTTACTTCAAGTTTAACAGAGCAGTTTAATTTGAAATTACTCTGCCTGCAAATGCTACTGTGTGTGCCAATGACATTGGCAGATCCAATTTAATGTGTGAATTTAAAAAAATCCTTTATCTTCTTGGCTAAAAAAAAAAAAATCTCAGGAAGAAGGTTTCCACTTAGAAATACACAGGTTTAATTGGCATTTTCATCTTAAATCTGATTATTTCTTCTTGCCCCAGAATAGTACTTTTGATTGCTTAGTGTTTTAATTACTCTCATGGTGAGAGCTGTGTAAATTCTAATTAACCAGAGAGGATAAAAATAACCATACAATCTTTTTTCCTGTTTTACAGGAACATCTAGATGGTGTAATTATTGTGCAGGAAAAAAAAGGAAACTGTGATGAAGTTAACATAGACAAGGTATGCTTTGTCTTAATTGTATAAGATTTAAAGCAAGCCAGCATTTAATATATGCATAGGAATTGATACAGAAAAACTTGATTTGTTGCTTTCCCTAAATAAAGGTCTGCTTAAAATGTGCTTTACCTTCTGTAGGTTAAGTCCAAAATATACAGCTCTACTCAGAAGTTCTAAGTAGCTTATTAGGTTAAATACAGATTGCTTTATCTCTCATCAGCGTTGGCAGGTTCAGCGTAGCTGTTGCTGCAGTTAGAAAATCAGACATACCTGATACAGCAAAATATTCATTTAACGTACCACTAGAAAAATCACAGTTCTCGTGTTGAGTGTGGGAAAGGATCACATGCAACTTTTTAATTATCCTTGCAAAATTCTGAAGATCATTAATTATTTCAGACATCCCTTTTTTTTCCGTTGTGAATTCATTGTCATTTCACACACAGGAGATAGTGTCTCATGCCGCATGTGTGATCTTTTTGCACGCTAGGTGAGGCGGCAGGCTCTGCAAGAAGAAATCGATAGAGAATCTGGCAAAACAAAAGCATTCAGTTCCAAAGCAGGACAGGTATGTATGAGCTTAGACCTTGATCTGGTGGAAATACTGGGGGGTCCTAGAGCAAGTTCCTGAAAAAAACCGCTGTGCTCTGTTCTGTATGTGGCTCAGGTACGTGGCTTGGCACAACAGTCTTCCTTCTGACTGCAGAGTTAAGGTCACGCTGTAGAACAAGTTGGTGCAATGCCAAGAGAGTCTGAGAGCTGACAGTGAACTCCTTGGCATTGTACAGTGCTCCAATTCCCATCATCAGTCCTCAAAAGCAACATTTTCTCTGGTTCCTCTGGAGAATGGGCCATGACAAATTGCTACAGAAGCATTTTCTGCTTACTGTGAAGTACAAATAATTCCAGGCTATGGATATAGCAGTCACTGAAGTGTATCTTGTTCTTATCTGCAAGACTTTGCAGACATTCAGAAAGGGGCACATGTGGAAAGGTAAAGGGGGTGGCAACTGATAACACACTTGTGATATCTACAGTCAGTCCTCTCATGGCATCCACATCTTTCTTCCACTTCTTTGAAAGATGATTCTTTATTCCTTGCTTTTGCATCCTGCTCAGCCTGCCTCCTGAGGGATTTACAGTCAGGTAGTAGGAACTGTTGCAGTAGTGTTTAGCAGGGTTAATAGGATTGAGGTGGAGAGAAAGCTTTGCTGGTAATCCAGGATTCTTAGTTGTTTTGCAAGACTGCCAGTGTGCCTAGAAAGCTGGAATATGCCTCAAACAAATGCCAGAAACAAATTCTGTAGATGTAACATAGTGGGAGGCAGCCTGTGATAGCTCTGGAACTGCAACTGTCTAATAGTGTGTGAAGTCATTGAGAAAAATGACATCCTTGGCAGGGGATCTCAGTTCCTTGGTGCTGATCTGTCTCTGTTTAGTAGCATGCAGAAGAATAGAAGCTGTGAAAACTAATTCATCAGCTCCACAAAGAGTGAGCTGGAAATGCTTCAGCAAAAGCTGTGTGTAGTGCCTGCCAGCAACTCACTTAAAAAAAATTACAGAGTTTGACAAGCCATGATTATATTTGCATCTGTGCAGATGCCTCCCATTCCAAAGGGAGGACTTAGATTTATCTGTATGTGCCTTCAGTGTATCTGTATGTGTGTCTGCATCTGTGCCACAGGCTGGGCTTAGACAGCAACTTGCCTTTGTACAAGGTAAAAATACTGAAGTATTACGGGTAGCTCTCTTTTAATAGTAGGTATTCTGCTCTGTGATGGTGAATGATATTCCAGCCATGCATTTTTTTAACTTAAAAAAGCCTGCTAGGGCTTGCCTGCAGTATTGTGTAACGTGCTTGTGTGTCATGTTGGCTGTCTGCTGGAGGATGACTGTGTCATGCAAGCTGCAACTGTTCAGTTGGAAGGATTTCAGGCTGACACAAACACACCCCTAAATTCACGTTGTTTCCTTTGATGTAACCAGCTTAGTCTATTTAATTAATAATCAGACATTTTTCCATTTAGTATCACCCCCAATTTTAAAGAAAAAATAGGGAGTAGCAAACCTGCTGGATATACTTACAAATGATTGCATAGCTTCAGCTCAGGAGTCGAATAAGATCCTTAGATATTGAAGCCTGTTCTGAGGTAAGCCAGAAGTTCGTGAGCTTTGTAAATCATATGATTTATCTTGGGTTATCCACAAACAGCTGAAATATCATTTCACCTGGACACTGGCTCCTCAGAAAGGAGCCAGAATCTGCAGACAAAGGAAAAATCCTGAAGGGGTGAACTAGTTCTAAAAATAGTGAAAGGCAAATATAATGAATACAAAGAAAACAGGAAACTGCAAGGGAGAGGAGGCTTTAAGAGCACTGGGTTTAGTCCTGTTGGATAAGGGGGTTTGCACCCTTGCAATATTAGTTGTAATTAGTAGGATGAAAGTGCCAATATTACTTAAAGCTTATGAGGCAGATTGAACATGGTCTCCAAAACTAACATAACAAAACACTGCTGAAAACAACAGCTCCCAAACTAGGCAATGGGAAAAGGAAAAGATAAACATATGAAGTGACAGCGAAAGCGGATTAAGTCTGACAATTTTTTTAGAATAAGAGATGATGTCTGGCTCTTTGAGCTGGGTAAAGAGAGAGCAGAAAAGCCAAGGTTCCTGAAGAGGGAGGGAAAGGAGATTCTCAAAGGCATTAACCCCTCTCCGGGTTAAATGACCTGCACTGCTAATGAAGATGCATCACACAGAGTGAATGTCGTTCTTTTACCACATCCTTTAAGAGGTACTGCCTGTGGAATAACTGCTTTTTCCCAGCTTGGTAAAAATTGTCTTCCTTGGTCTTGTTATTACTTACTTTTAGTGTTAACCTTGTTTTGCTTCACAGGATACAAGGTTTGGACAGTGGAGTACAGCTGCTTTTAAAAGTTCTGAGGAAGAAATGAAGTTTTTTAGACTGATGGGTGGCTTTAAAAAGGGCCCTGTGCCTATCCAGAATCTCTCAGGAACTACAAACAAACCAAACATGGCTCTGAACAGGGAAGGGCAGGAGAAGTTACAGCAGGCTCTGAAGATGGAGTTTGATAAAGCAATGGACTTGAAGCAACACAGAGGAATTGGTCTTGGATTTCAACCTACTGCCAACAAAAAAGGATACATAGACAAATATACATCTAGATCTATAAAATTTGAAGATTAAAACTCTGAAGTAATAAAAAGAATGAAAATTCAGCTGGCAATTTTTTTTTTTTTTACTTTTCAGATCTTTTTACTTAATAAAATGATTAAGAAATTTGATTTGTGAGGCTCTTTTAGTACAAGTTTTCAGCTGCATTCACTGGTGGAGCTGGGTCCTCACTTCAGCTAAACAGTAAGTTTTTGAAACCTTTAGCACGTTTCTTCTGCAAGGCACAGCCTCCTTGAAAGATTAAAGATATGTGTGCCATGCCTGCAACTAGTTTTTTTTAAATGCTGATTTAATAAACTTATTTTTGGCTACAACTTAGTGACTCAAAGGGATTTTAGTCTTCTGCGTGTTTTTTCTTCATATTTTTACAGTGGTACAAAGTGATGAGGAGGTGAAAAACATGCAACAAAAATGGTTTAATAATTTGGGTGGTATTTATTACCAGCTTGCTAACTCCTTAAATATATGGTTCTGTCTAAACAGATTACTTGTTTAGCCTTAACAAACCAAAACATTTTCGTGCAAAAATAGATCTTGATTATCTGAGTAAGGATTTAACTCATTAAGAACTTACCACTAAGCAAAAGCAGCAATAGAAGTCTCAGCATGGTTCCCCTACTGTGGGATAGAAATGGTGAGAGTGAAATTTTATTAGGAGTAGTATCAGTACATGTAACTAAATTCCACAAGGGTAAGGTGATAGATCTGTGTGCACAAACTCCCCCAGAACACACAGATGAACTGCAAATTGTTTTATTCAGTGATAGAGTACTTTGCAAATATAGAGTACTTTGCATACATTTCCTTTTTCATTTGCAGACAGCACTTAAAGATTCCTTCCATTTTTGCAAAACATGGGACTAAAATGAAAACATAAACATGTCGGTGAAAATGTATTGTAGAAATTAGAACAACACCACCTCGGCCATTTTTCTCTTCTACTGGAACCAACAAAAAAGATGCTGGCAGCATCCCAAAGCAGAGAGATTATTTAGTAGGATTATTATATAGAAATGCTGCTTTCTACACAGGAGAAAGACTATTCTACAAGTGGGATGAAGTTTTGAGGCTGTGAATTTATTTGTGCAGATTATCTTCTTCCTTTTTTGTTAAAATTACAACAGATTAGATTTTGAAAGGCTTTCACTACTACAGAGGTTCAAAATACTGTTTAGTGAATGTAAATCAGCATTTAAAATATTATAGTAAAACTGGAGACAGAAATTCATGTTAAATCACTGCCCTCAGAGCAGTTTTACCTTTACTGTGCCCAAGTAAATCTTTCCCACTAAGTAAAAACACTGAACTCCTCCAGTCAGAATCTAGATCAGTGATTTTTGGCCTTAGCTCCGTGCTCTCTTGTACAGGTGACTCCTTGGAAAACAGACATTCCTCAGGTCCTGGACTGCAGAGGAAGCCGAAGGGCCAAGTCTGTGAAGTGACTCATTTCAGGTTGTTGGCTTCGCCTCTTGATGTATTCCAGTGTTTTCACCTGAGTTGGAGAAGAAAGGGATTGGGAGATTTTTAGTGTCTTTGTCTTTTCTCATTTCATAGGCCATCCCTTCATGTTTGTATACACACTCTCTTGATTTTCCATAAATTTCACTGTCTGTGTGAGCACTTGGCATTTCTTACTCATTATCACGTGTATCTGTCTTAAAGGCTCTCAAAAGCCACTTCCAAGCTTACACCATATAGTTCCTCCACAAAATAAAAATGCTGTATTTCTGTTAGAGCCAGTTTTCTGTTCTGAAAAAAAGTTATAGCACCCAACACTTTCAGGTTCCTTAATGCTTGACAAAGGATTAAAATTGCTAGAAAGATACAGAGCACTTGAAAGAGAAGCTGCTTATTCATTAAGAACCATTTAAAAAAATAAGTTGTTGGGATTTTAAGATTTTTTTTTTTTTTTTTTTGGAAGAGAGCAACTTATAGAGAGATTAGGTTTATTCAGATCAAGACAATTTTCCCAAATAAGGAGTGGAAAAAGATGTTAAGAACTACAATTTTTTTGCATTATCTGTTTTCCTTACCATAGTCTTGGTGTCAGCAAAGCCATGTTTCTGAGCAAGATTCCAGAGGTTGACTGAAAGCTGGTTGAGTTTGTTGTTTCGTAGATCCCCGTGAGCTACAATAGTGTTAAAGAAATACAGTGCCAACTGGCTCTGCCGCTTCAGGGTCTACAATGAAACAAAAATATTCCCATGTTACCATATAATCACCCCCAAATATGCAGCATAACCTCACTGGGTTCTCTGGAACTCTTCAGAAGTGCAAAGGGCACTCATTTTGTAACCCACAGCAATAGCTACAGACCAAGAATACAGGCAGAGTTATTATGTTCCATTCAGAATGCAACAAGTAGTGATAGTGAATCAGTGTAAGTCACTGTAAATTAAATAATTACACAAAACTACATCTCATACCACTTTGGTACAGCACATTATGTAGGTCTGACATATTTTTAACTCAAGACTCCCTACAATTGCAGAGAAATCACCCTCCCACCCACCAGCCTTGCACTTAGAGCACCATAGCTCTTTATATTTTAGAGACCACTATCATCAATTTAGATTAATGCAACTTCAGGCTTTCTTCCAGCAGTCTATTCTATATTTATTTATTTAGGCAGGGATGTTTTTTTCCTGCTATTCTTTCACTGAAACTTTGGTTATACCAACATATTTGCACCGCATTTGCAGCTACTTTCCCTAAAATTGCTGAGGAAGGCCCTTAAGGAGGACCCTCACTCATGGTACTCTGCCATGGAGGAGCACCAGCCTCTGTGGAAGAGTCCTGGGGCACAGACAATCCTGCTCTAAGCTTACAGGGTGCTCCCACCATGATTTGGAGTGAGTGGAAAACAAATTAAAATGCTACTGCAGATTCTGCTGATTCCTATGGAGTAAGTTTTCACGGTTAAAAGGATGAATTATTATTGGATGCATCTGAGCTGTAGTATTTGTTTATCCTGCTCTGCTGCAGCTGTCCTTTGTTCTTTGCTCCAGAAAGCCCCACTGACAAAGGCACAGCTCCATCCTACACAAACCACAGCAGTGGAGTCCTAGTTTACAGCACAACTGTCAGCTGAGCACCCCGATTAATGAACTTAACGCTGCACTTTACCCCTCTCAGTTCAATTCATACTGGGGTGGTTAATGCACAGTGTTCAGAGACAAGGGTACAGGCAGCATGAGCCACAGATTGGGGTAAGAGAAGTGCAGAGACCTCTGACTTGTGTGTTCCTGACATGGTACCGATGCAGCCATGCAGTCTCTGCCCTTTCCCTAAGGGACTGAAAGTAAATTAATTTCTCACTGCCAGCAGAAGAGAGGTCAGATGCTATTAATCAAAGAAGTGGCACACACTGAGCTATCAGTCCTCCAGATAAATATGGAAAAGGAGTAAGCCATGCTATGAAAGAACTGACCACCTAGAAAAGAGGCCAAGCATGCCCCAAACTAGAAGCATCACACTGCTACTGTATGTATGTGACACAGTAGATCTGTACATGCAGAGACAATCTGCCATATCATGAAATTATTTACTAATTTGAAACATAGGTACTTCAAAAAGGATCATCCTTCAAAAAGGACTCAGAAGCAAGCTAGGAGAATGAGAGGCACACTAATTCTCATTGTGTTGGGGCAGGTATAATGGACAGGATTTTAGCACTGAGTCCTCAGTTACACAACACCGATGGAGAGAGGCAGGCTCAGGTATGCAGGAAATCCCACCACGACTGAAAATGAACAAGGAGTGTCAGGCAAGACGTAAATGTTGATGAACAGGAATGTTTGTGTAACATGGCACTGACCTCCAACCCCAGGGATGCATCCATGCCAGCACCCTGCCAAGCCTGGCATGACTGAGCTGTGGGTGGCACCCCCACTCACGGGGTATTCACAGGCATCAAGGAGAGAGCAACAGCTCAGCTATTTGGCAACCACACACATCATGGGACCAGCAATTCCCACACCAAAAAGAACTGCCAGCCTTCTAGGCAGCACATTTTCCATAATCCTTGGAATAATGCTGATGACAATGAAGCAAAGAACAAACTACATCAGGCCAGAACGTGACCCTCTTGTGTTGTCACCCCTCCACCAAAGTGCAGAGTAATGACCAAATTTCATGTAGCATAACAGAAAAAAACCATATTCTTTCATACAATGGGCCATGTAACATTCTGTTTCACAAAATTCTACCTCTTCTCAATTTAAAACACATCCCCACACGGAGAACTATGTCCAGCTCTGCTTCTGGTTCAGTATTCAAGCACATGTGAAATCAGCCGAAGTTGTTATGAGTTTATATAAAATTAAAAATCAGTTGTGTTGAAAGAAGAAGCCTCAAGAGCATTTCTCCTGCTCCATTTTTGATACTTACTATAAAAAGTCCAGTATCTACCATGTGGTGCATGGGAAGACTGCCACCCTAACATGGCACTGCCAAGGGCACAACAACATGCTCCTGATAATTTGGATCAAAAGTCATGTTTGAATAAAACATACATTTATTACTGAGGAGCAAGAAGCAAGGTATTTACATTTCTACAAAACCTAGAGCATTAGACCAGTCTTCCCCACACACAGAGAGGATTCACTGCTACTCTCATGACCAGAAACAGCTTGAACTTTACAGAACTGTCTAGAATTGAAAATTTCCATTCCAACACTGTCACATAAATGAAGCATTCTCTAATACTGTGAAAAGACCACGCTGTGTTAACAATGAGATGCATTGTTCTCTTCCAAATTGCCATTTTGGTGAAAGGATTTTATTGTGAGAAAAATTTATTTTCCTTTATAGCTTTTAAAGGAAATGGACCAATAAAAACACAAAATCATCAGAGGCTTGTTCATTTAAATGAGCAGCCAAGAAGATGAATAATAAAAGGTCACCAACACTGAAGCAGTCCAAATACCACAGTGATTTTATGACCAGTTCTACTTTAGCACAGTTAGAGATCTCTGACAGTGTTCTCATCACCTCCATTTCCTCAGCAACAACAGCTTCCTCGAACAACCATTCATTCTTAAAAACCAATTTTTATCTAAATCTCTCAAGGACTTTTACTCAACTATGCAAAACAAATGCTCCCCCTTTG